AAGACAGTAGTGAGCGTGCGGAGAGAGGCTGTGCGTGGTACAGGGTATCTAACAGCAGCCGTACTTCTTGCGAGCGTGCTGGCGTGCCACTGCTGCACCTGTTACTGCGCCCTGCAACCCTGCTACCCTGCTGCCGCTCTGCCGCTGGTACTGAAATGGTTCTGTAGAGTAGGTTCAGAGTAGGTTCAGCAGGCGTTTTTTGTTATGGCAGGAGTTTCTTTCCTGCCATCTATGGCAGATTCCCGGGCGCCGGTTGATGCCTGGGGTATTTTCATCGCGAGAAGGGTACAGCAATCCCTTCCCTCGCGACTTACGGAGTCGATTAGTGCAGATGCTTGGTTATTAGTGCAGGAAAATCTCTAGACACACCCCTGCACTACAACATATAGGGCACAGTAACTAGACTGGAAGTACTTTCAAGACTTTTAGGGCCCTCCAGGAGTGCGGATACCCGCCTCGTCACGGCTGCTGATGTACCTGCGGAACAGGGTTTGGGGGCGTATGGGCGCATCACTGGACTTCATTCGCCCGTCCCATCATGAACAACGAACGGCAGCTCCGTCGTTGGTGCTGAAGTTTATCATCTGGCCAAAGGGAGAGCAGACGGCTGTGATTTTCGGAGACGCCGACACGGAAACCTTGGCCCCTGCAATACGAGGATACACAACAACACTACATAAATAATGATGATTGTAGGATTATGATTGTACTTCAATTGTACGATACATTGGTCTTCTGTACTGCTGTTCCAAAGCGTGCAAGTGTGTAATGACCAAGCAGCAGGTTAGGTTGTACATGGTATGATGTAGCAGAGAAAAAAAGTGTTGGAGGCTGGCTCTTTGCTCCTGAACGGACGACACAAGAGCCGCAGCGCAGATTTCCGGGTGTGGGATCAACAAACATGTCGCACTTCGACGCCGTAGTCCACATCCCGGCTCCCTGCATTGTATGCATCCACCCGTAGTTCGTTGCACGTTAAATACGTACATTATCATAAATTGAAGCTACCTGGCTGCAGAAGGGGTCGAATAGACCGGTGATGACGCTGTGTGAGGCACGCGACTGTCTATTGACCCAGGAGATGGACGATGGATTCGTTGGGTCATCGTCAGAAAAAAAAAATATATCGACTGGTCTTTCAAACGAACCGACAACTATATCAGAGAGAGCCGGACGGTGTACTGGTTTTTGGAGGACAGAGAGCGAGTTTTTTTCCGGGCGGTGAAGAGCAGTGCATGTAGTAATATTGATGGCAAACAGACCAATTTCCATCGTACACCCACTGCTTGCAGCGTCTGATGGCCCCGCGACAAGTCTTCCCGTACGATGAGTGCGGAGTCCTCCGCACGCCGCGGCAGTTGCTGGCAGAGTCGCAGCAGCAGCAGCAGAAGGAGCTCGAGTCGCAGCAGCAGGAGCAGCATCATCAGAGAGAGCCATGGCTCGACCTTGACAACCCATCGCCCTTTACCCCGACGTTTGATGAGTCAGGAAGCAGCGGAGGCGAGGCGGGCTGCGTGCAGCAACCGCACTCCAGCGACCTACGAGACGCGCTGAAGGATGACGACGACGACGACGACGAGAGCTTGGACTTGGGGACGGCCTGGGCGAGCCGCGAGTTCGTGCCAAAGCCTGGGGTGGAGATTTTTGTCGGAGGCCTGACCCGCAGCACGCGACGCGACATGCTGCGGGATTGGTTTCAGCATGCCGGGGAAGTAACCGAAGTGCGCATCGCGCGCGACAAGAGGCGCAGGAGGTGCCGCGGGTACGGCTACGTGCGCTTCGCCACGAGCGAGCAGGCAAACCTGGCCATCGAAACCATGCACCGCTTCGAGTTCAAGCACGGCAGGTTCCTCGGCGTCTTGCCCTCTGATGAAAATCGTACGCTGTTTGTGGGAGGGCTCCAGGAGGAGTGGAGCTGCGCCTACATATGCCAGCTTCTCAAGGAGAAAATGGTGAGATTGTTGATTCAATTTGGCCCTTTTTGCGACTGTCCAGGCACGCCGCGTTCGAATGTGCACACCGCGCAGCATCGGCGAGGGCCGGAGGCGGCGCCCGTAGGAGCACGCCGCAGCGGGTCGTTAGGGCGCTTGTTTTCTGGAACAAACGTGATTATCGTGCCGTCAACAATGGCGCCGTCAACAAGATATTTTCATTCCCTCAGCAGTGGCAATTTTGCTTGTCCCAAGCGATTGTAATCATCCCGTTTCGCACCAACTCCTCTCTCATTTTGCTCTCTCGAGCCATGCACGATGCAGGGGCAGTTCACCCCTTCTTCTCCCAGCAAGATGTTAAACCCCCGCCCCGCCAACCACCACGCGCGGGTTGCAACGTACGCATTCCAGCAACGAAATTTTTTATCTTAGACCAAAACTCTCCGCCAAGCAGACTCTCCGCCAAGCAGACTGAAACATTACGAGCCAGTTTTACCTCTGCCCATCCAGATAAGTTTGGGTGGTACACGCCGTACGATGCGATGAAAAAAGATGTTGTATTGGCCTGGACCATGAAGATTCCGTGCGCATTAATTCCATCTTATAGTGGAAAGCTGTATGTCTTGAAGCTCTATGCGTCTGTGATGTGCTGCTTCTTTGTTTTTTTGGCCTGCATGCACATGTGTGCATGATGTGCCGTCGGTTGCAGCTGCTGTTGAACGTCTTGCCGTCCTGTGGTGCGGTTGCTGTTGTTGCTGAAGGCTCAAAACCGTCCCAGTCTCTGCCCAGGACCCTGTATAAAACATCCACACTGGTTCCACCTGACGTAGACGCCTTCCGCGGTGGCAGGCCATCTGACTGCAGCAGTACCCGAATAGGTACCGCGTACACGCCCTCGCGGTGATTCGAGCCCGCACCGCCGTTTCGCGAATTCACTTTCTCAAGTACTTGAAAAAATATGGAGGGGAATGACCGCCGCAGCACAACGCCCACAGCAGCGCCACCACCCATAGAGCCACCTTAAAGAGTCACCAGTCACCACAGAGCCACATGTAGCTGGCTATACAAGATATCGGGCGTATGTGGAAGGTTTTTCTAAAGTTGAAGTTCATGCCCATCGCTTCCGCTCGGCACGTGATGTCGAAAATAGCAACGCACAACCGGCGGTGCAAGAGGGGAGAGAGAGGGAGGAAACGGATCGTTTTTCGTTCTGTCGAATTACTTCAAGGTACCCGGTCGCCCCCGTTGGTCTAGTTGGTATCCCCGAAACCTTCCGGAGGTCAGGTTAGGGGTTCGAATCCCGGCTTAAGCGAGCTTTTCTTGCAAAGTGAGATTTTCTCTCGCTTCCGCTCCTGGCCTAGTGGATAGCCTAGTTCGTGTGTACACAGAGGGAAGAGCGTGCTGTACTCTTCCCGCAGCAAAAATCGAAGGCAAGGTACCGCAGGAGGGGAGGGTAGAGAGGGACTCTTCTGTGACCACGGGTTGGAGTAAACGGCACCAGTGCTGTGAGCGCTGCTGCAAGGTACAGGGGGATGATGAGCCGCGGGTGACGACTCAATACCTTGGAGAGATCTTGCGATGCTGTGCAACGTGCTAGACACGCTGCTTCCGGCAGTAGCGCAGTAGCAACCCAGAACTAATCTGTAATGTCTAATGAATGGCGCATTCGTTACTTACTTGCGGAAATGCAAGTAATGTTCGAACGGATCTTGCGAGACAGGTGCATCCGCTCCCGGGCTTCAAAACTTGTTCACAACTTGAAACTCATCCGTTTCGACTACATTGTAGCAGTAGAATTGTCTCGAACGGTTGGATAGTCTTTCTGTGAGATGATGGGCATTTTCTCGAAGAAAACTACCAGACACCAACGGCGGAGGAATACACACAACATGCTCGCCTCTGCTACAGCAGTGTACCGACGACCGCCGAACGATCGGCACGTAAAAGTACTGACACAGACACAAATATCGGACGCGTTTTTTCTCATCGTGCTGGGGATGCCAAGGAAAAATGTCACGCTTCGCGCTTCGCGGCTCGTTCTCTTGGGTGTATCAAATTGGGATATATATTATATATATATATGGAGTATATTTTTTTTTTCTTAATATGACACAACGAGTCCATCTCTATCATTGATAAGAGTCAGAGACAGATGTACAATGGAATCATTGCGTCAGTTAAAACTACCTGTATGTCACCGATTTCCCAGACAGCATATAGGGACATCTCCCCTGCGGATAACAGGCTCAACAAATCAGTTTGGTAGCTGTCTTGTGTGTCTCATATATGTTATGTTGGGAGGGTGCAGACGAAGCTTTTGGGTACTGTTGGTTAGTCGGGCGTTTTGTGTGTCGCACCCTGTTAAAATAGTTGTAGGACATGCAATCTCCATCAGTTCCCAAACGTACTTTCAGTTGGGTACAGTAGGGGGCCCTCTATAGTGCCGGTATGTGTTCAGAGAGCAAAGCGGCACTATACCGGGCACCGGCACTATTCAGAGTACAGAAAGACTTGATATTCCGGTGTGTGCGAGCCGAAAACACCGGCACTATACCGGCAACCGGCACTATTCAACCGGCACTATATCGGGCCACCCACTGTATGCATATGTGCGGAGTTTATGCGGCTGATGTGCGGGCACACGGGAGTGGTCTCACCGTTCCCCCCCCCCAAAAAAAGGAATTATATATAGATATATATGACACAACGAGTCCATCTTTATCAGAGAAAAGAGTCAGAGACAGATTGACAATGGAATCATAGCGTCAGAGAAAACTACCTGTATGTCTACGATTTTCTAGACAGCATATAGGGACAACTCCCCTGCGGGTGACAGGCTCAACAAATCAGTTTGGTAGCTGTCTTGTGTGTCTCATATATGTTATGTTGGGAGGGTGCAGACGAAGCTTTTGGGTACTGTTGGTTAGTCGGGCGTTTTGTGTGTCGCACCCTGTTAAAATAGTTGTAGGACATGCAATCTCCATCAGTTCCCAAACGTACTTTCAGTTTGGTACAGTAGGGGGCCCTCTATAGTGCCGGTATGTGTTCAGAGAGCAAAGCGGCACTATACCGGGCACCGGCACTATTCAGAGTACAGAAAGACTTGATGTTCCGGTGTGTGCGAGCCGAAAACACCGGCACTATACCGGCAACCGGCACTATTCAACCGGCACTATATCGGGCCACCCACTGTATGCATATGTGCGGAGTTTATGCGGCTGATGTGCGGGCACACGGGAGTGGTCTCACCGTTCCCCCCCCCCAAAAAAAGGAATTATATATAGATATATATGACACAACGAGTCCATCTTTATCAGAGAAAAGAGTCAGAGACAGATTGACAATGGAATCATAGCGTCAGAGAAAACTACCTGTATGTCTACGATTTTCTAGACAGCATATAGGGACAACTCCCCTGCGGGTGACAGGCTCAAAAAATCAGTTTGGTAGCTGTCTTGTGTGTCGCATATATGTTATGTTGTGTAATTTCATGTCGTTAAATGTGCGAAGGGCACGGGAGAACATTTTCTCATTATTGCCTCCTGATGACGTGGTCGCCGATAGGGGCGTGTGGTTGATGAGGTTTCATCACCGACATGTGGGTGTGTGTTAAATGCAGTGGGTATGTTCACCTCTCTCGTCCGTGTGTAGGCAGGAGGTATGGCTACCTCTCCTTGATTCGGTGTGATTCGCTGGGCTCTTCGAGGCCATCAACGTCAACTTCTGTTTTTTTTTATTATTTTCTAATCATATGACCCAACGAATCCATCTCTATCCATGGATATATTTGTTCGTTGTTTCACGTTCCAATTCTTTTTCCAAACGAAGTTATCGCACAAAACGGAATTGGACAAATTGTTGTGCACGGACTAAATGTTTTGAGCTTGTGGAGCTTTGTAAGGTCACACCCGATCGATACATGGCAAGCAAGCTGTTCTTAGCGGGGGGTTGTGGTGTTGAGGTTGTGACGCCAGCTGCCCAGCTGTCTCCCGCTCTGAACATTTCCAGCATTAGGGGGCACGGCGCATGATGCTTCACCAGCAGATGTGTTTTTCCCATCTTACATCGCCCTTGAGGTGGCACTGCTGTGCTCTCATGAGTCCTCGTCGGCAGGCAACCTCGAACTATTTTTGTTGTTTTTTATTTCCCAATGATGACTCGAACTTTTGTTGTTGTTGTGTTTTTTGCCATCTTGCATCCCCCTTGAGGTGGCACTGCTGTGCTCTCATGAGCCCTCTTCCATTTAGCCAGCCGTCTTCAAGTTGGGGAGGCAGCACCATCGATGATAGATTCACGTCCTCGAAGCCTTTTTTTTGTTTGAAGGCAAACCGTGAAGCCATCGTTGTTTTGAAGTATCTCTACTTCAGGCTACGGTGGGGAGCACCGGCCGCGGCCTCTAGGGGTTGCTGAGCCTCGATTCGGCACATACTTTTGTGCAGAGTCACGGCGTCAGAATGACACCACGTGCAGCCCTCGTGTGTGTCATTCTATCTGAGTGTTTCGGCGCCACATTACCTTGAAATAGGCACACATGCCCGCCGCGTCTCGTTCATACCAGGGCCGCGTATTAATGCCAGGTCCTGGGAATCAAATAACTCAAGTTCCCTCTCCAAAACGACTCCACCGTTCGTGGCTTCCATGTGTTGGTCAAATGTCCAACTTGTTAATCGGAGGTGTCCGCTTGAACTTCAGAAAGACCAAACCCATCCCTTTCGACACCCCGTTCTCCCGCCTTCCCCCGATCACGCACCGGCAGACATGATCTCAATAAACGCGCACTACTTTGTTGCAGAACGTGTACCTGCAAATCACTGAAGCGACTTTTTACTTCGTTTTCCCTGGACGTTTCAGCCCTCCAGCGTTTACCGTATGTCTCACGCGCGATTTTTTGTTGTGCGTGCCCCCCCCCCTTGTATATTTTTTGGCTCCGTACCCCGGGAAATACGATGACGACAACAACAAAAAAAAGCCTGGCTTGAGGAAAGTGGAGCCCATTCCCGACCGGGAGGACAGGTTCAAGATCCGCACCTTCTGCTTTCTGGAGTTCGCTTCCCACGCCGAGGCCGCCGTGATTTTCAACCGGCACCAGACCAGCCCCCGGCTGCCGCAGCCGCCACCTCACCAACAGGCGGCGGCTGCGGCTTCTTCGACGTCGCAAGGCCCGACGACTGAGCTGTCGCTCCCGCTCCCGCCGCCTTTTGCTGCGTCGGCCGCCGGGGGGGGCGCGGGCTTGCGTTACGAGCGTGATGCACGGAGGGAGAGCAGGAGCAGCACCACCTGCACCAGTGCCGGTGACAACGCCGCTGATGGCGGCGGCGAAAAAGATGGGACGGGAGCGGGGGTACCGCTGGTTGTCGGCGGTGCCACCCTGAAAGTCGATTGGGCGGACCCCCTGCGGTACCACATCCACCTGAACGGGGGCATCAAGGGACCGTCGGCTCCTCCGGAGTCCGGCGTGCAGAACGGTCGTCCCGCCTCACGCGGCGCCGGCTGCAAGGGGGGTTCTGGGAACGGAGGAGGAGGGGCCTTTCGGGGCGCGGTAGGTATCGGCGGCGGCGGCGGCGGCACTTTCCCGCCCTGGCAGCAGCAAGAACAGATGAGGCGGTCGTCGCCATTGATCGACCCCAGGCGGCAGGGCGGGGACCACTCGCGCGCCGTGCACGCTCTGGAGCACCAGCATCTTCTGCAGCAGCGGCACCAGCAGCAGCGGCGGCAACAACACCAGCAACCCTATCATCGCCATCGCCCGTCAGATTCCCAACAACGGAACGCGGCGGCACCGAGCGTAAGTGAGGAGAGCCGACTCGTGACAGGCGATGTGTGCGACATGCGCTTGGTGTTTTTTCACGATGTTTGAGTGTGTTGTTTTCTGCTAGTTCACGGTCCTGGCTCGTATTTGTTCCGAAGACAGCAGGAGTGGACTCGCAGTTCGGTGGCGTGTTTGGTGGGCTTGGTAAAGCCGTGAGAAAGGCGCCCTCAGACTCGGACATCGTCTTTGTTGTTCCCGAAGTATCGTGATTCTTGTTGACTTTTTTTTTTCAACGGGGTAGCGTCGACCCCCTCCCTGCCGTCCATGCGTTCATTGTGCTCCGCCCTCCAGATTATGGCCCTGGACGGGTCTTCAGATCGCCTCACTCACCACCTGTCACTCAGCGGGTCCTCGCCCGCGGCGACGCGGGAGCGCGGCTACACCATCGCGTCGGGGCTTACATCCACCCGGAGGGCCTTCTGCGATGACGTGATTGGCGGCAGCAGCGGCGGCGGTGGCGCGGGTTCCCTGTCCCAGCAGCACCGGTTCGGCGGCGAAGGCGAAAGGCCGCGATCGGTCTCGTCGAGCGGCGTGCCGCTCCCCCGCCACCACCGCGCGTCCCGCTACTCCCCGACCCACGCCGGCTTTCTCCGCGACGTGGCGACGGTGGAGGCGGCCGCCGAACAGCGGGACTACGGTGGCCGCCCAAGCGCGCCCGGGGGTCCCGTAGAGTTGCACGATCAATACCCGCACCGCAACTCTCGGCCGCAGCACCCTTCGGGCATGGTCGGACGAATGGGAGGCCAGGAGAGTTCCATGAGGCAGCAGCTTCAGGACCACGACCATCATCACGGCAGCGGCAGCGGCAGCGGGCATGTTCGGCCGTATAGCGCCGGCGCCGTCGACCCTGGCACCGGCGGCGGCGGCGGTAACTACGGCATCGTCCGCCGCGATATGCCGACGAGGAGTGCCTCTTGCCGCCCCTACAGCGAGCACCAGCACCCCGCAGCGGCATTGCCGCCATCGTCTCGGGATTGCCTCGGGTCTTGGGAAGGGGTCGCCGCCGGCGCAGGCGATGGCGAGGCCTACTTGGATTGGTCTGGCTCCACGGTGCCCCCGCCTTCCGGCCGGAGAGAGCTTCGCAGGTGGTCCCTGCAACAGCAGCAGCAGCAGCAGCAGCAGCAAAGGCAGCAGCAAAGGCAGCAGCAGCGTTGGGAGCAACAAGACGCCCTTGACCGCGCGACCGGTGCTTTTGCGACAGCAGCCTGGCCAAAGGTGTGTTGGCGTTGATGAGACCTCTGTCCGCTGCCCTGTTCTTGTATGTGATTTGGCTTACTTGGTGTTTTTCTGTATTGTTGTTGTTTGTGTGTTTCAAGTTGTCTCGCAAGGTGCACATCAATCGGCCGAAGGGGTGTACGGGCTGGCTTTTTTTTTGTGGTGTTCCTTGGCAGCGCCGACAAATGCGATGACTGCCTTCTTGCAAGATAACCGGCAGCAGTTGCCATGTGGCCCCGTTCTTTGTTATTCGAGGGCTCTCCTTCACACGTTTGGACGGACTGCTGTGAACCGCCAACAGCAGCACCACGACTCCCAATCATTACATGAAGCCCTTTGTTTTTTGTTTTCAAGTGTCTCGATTTTTGAGGATGTGGACCCTCTTTTGGACATCTAGTTGTACCGGTATGGATGTTGAATTTTGTGGTACCGAGCATTGACAGGGGCGGTTATTCCTGGTTTGCAACATCGACGACAGCAGTATGACTTTGTCGGAAGCAGTCATTTGCCGTAGTGGTCGCCGCGCTGCCTAAAGAAAACTAGACGACCACCTTGGGAACCAGCGTTCCCCCCCACTACCACAAGAGTGGTTGTTATATTTCTCCGTCCACCTTCTAAGCTTCCCGCCGTGGTCATACTCCCAACGCCCCATTTCTCTTGTCTGTGCTCGGCGACTTGAAACCCTTCAGGACGCGGCACGCCTTCTCGAGGAAGGTTGGGTCGAAGACAACGACATTGGCACCAGAAACGACAATAATTCCGCCGCTGTGTTCTCCGGTTGGGATTCGGGGTTCGGGGAGGAGCAGCGGGGGCGGCGGCGGCAGCAGTCGCCGCCGGCACGGTTCCGGAACGGCGTGGCGGCGGTTTCAGCCTCTACCGCGGCCCTTCACGCGCACCCTCGCCGCCACTCCGTTACGGAAGGGTTGGTCGGCGGCGGCGGGGTCGGCGGCGGCGGCGGGGTCGGCGGCGGCGGCCTGGCTCGAGCGGTGGTAGGAGGAGCGGTCCCCACCGACAAGGATAACGGTGGCAGCTGTCCTCCCGGGTTCTCGGCCGGGTTGACCCGCGGCTACGGCAACGGTAGCAATGAACGTCGCTGGAGTGAAACCGACAACTGCATCTTGCAGCAGGCGCAGGGAGAAGAGAGAGGCGTGGAGGTCGACTTTGGAAGTCTCACCTTGTCCGACCACAGCGGTGGCCGCACTTGGGGCGGCGTGTCGTCGCTCATGCCTGAAGGCGGCACCGCCCCCAATGACGATGATATCGTCGGAGGCCTCTGGGAGGGCATCGGGGCGGGAGGACTCGACAGCCAGGAGCTGTCATCATCGTGGCCGAACTCGCTTCTTTCTCCCGGTTCGGGAGGTCGCAGCCCGTGGGGTACGTAAAACCACACGGAGCGATGAGTTCGTTGGGAGGGGGGGGGAGTGGTGGTTGGGCTGGACTAAGCGTCATTCCATGTTTCTTCCCTTGACTGCCCCCCTCCTGAACGGGAGTGTGTTTTTTTTTTTTGTCCTATTGATTTATGGGTCGATGAACTGATTGGCCTTCATGTTTTGTTTTCCTTGCCGACGTCGATGCGTACTTGGCCTGTGTTTTTTTAACCTCCTGGAGCTGGAGGGGAGCGGGGGGAGAGCAATGCATGCCAGCAAAGGTTAATGTGGAGGCGGGACGCCGTGAATGGAGGGGCGGGGGAATGTGGCGAGGTGGAAAATAGTATCAACCCGGGGACGGGTAGGTACATATCTTCACTAGTGTATCCCTCCGGGATGTTGAGCAGATAAAAAGGTAGGTTGCTGTTCGAGCGGAGACTTTCGGTGGAACAGGGGGCGGAAATGAGCACAAAGCGGGCAACGCCTGTGTGTTTCAGCATTCTCTGGGACGCCTCGACACTACCCTCTTTCTTGCCGAATGCATGAGATTGGTGTTGCTTGGCGATAATTTCTTAGTTTTTTGTTCGGTATGTATTTGCTTCCCTTTCCTGGGGCGTCCATTCTCCCATCAGGTCTGGGCTCGTTGCGGCTAGCGTAAATGGTATTCAGGTGCCCCCTGCACCGATTCCCGACACCGTGTATTAAGAGTGGGCAACTTTCGAACGCAGGGTTGAAAGAGTTGCAAGCCTAAGGGGAGCCGTTTGCGTAGGTCTGTTCTGCACTCCAGAGCAGACTTGCTGCTGTGTTGTTCGTGTGGTGAAGTATCCCCCGCCGGTAAAAGTCTGCAGAGCGAAGCAGGTGCGCTCGCGCCTCCAATGCTAAATCGGTCCCGTATGCAACGCACGTCTGCTCGTGGAAGACCAAGGTTTTCCCAATCCAGAAGGGGCTGGGGTTGTCCAGCAGTCGACCCTAGAGTTACCGGGAAGGCATCAGATGTGGAAGGGGTTATCCCGCGACAAATGGGTCCGAATCGAGCATGAAGGGGCCCGAATCGAGCGCGAGAGGTTTTTGTTTGCGCGATGAGTAAAAGAAGCTCTGGGCGAAACAGAACTTCGTTTGGGCGCGTTGGATACGCGAATTGCTTGCTAAAGTGCCAGCAGCGGGAGTTGCGTAGAAGGTAGGCCAGCAAAACCTGGCAGCTTTCACAGCCGCCCGCCAGTTGTTATTTTTTTCACCACAGCATTTTGTAGCGGGGGTTAACGCCGCGATCGAGAGGATCGTTTTTTCGATTGCCCCGCTGGAATTCCGTAGTTGATATCTCGGTTCTGGTTTGTTTCTGTGCATTTGTTTGCTACTCATTTTGCCTTCTTTTCTCGGCGTAAAGGGTAGAAGGGGGCTGATCAGGGGGACCAGGCTACGCGGCGAGTGTGTCTGTACCTCCTTGCTTCCTCTTGCTCAGAAACGGGGCGTCAACCCCGGTGCTGGGACAAGCGCCACGTTTGAGCTCGTTTATTGTTTGGCTTTCTCGGACGAAGGTGTCCGCTGATTTCCGGGGGTCCGGAGTATCGCCTGGCCTAGTTGCTTTTTCGTAGAATACCCCTCCTTGACGGGTGGGTTTTTTCATCGAGCATGCTTAACTCGCCAGCAGCTATGCACTAACAAGTCCTTGGGTTTTGCGGCTTTGGCGGTTGTGGCGGCGAAGATCTTTGTGGACGAAGAGAAGTCCCAAACCAGGTATACAGGGGTGCAAACGGAGTACAGTCAGTCTCGTTTTTTGGTCGGTCGTGGTTCGGTCGGTCAAGGTTTATTAGCGTTCGTTCGCGGGCGCGTTTTGTCGAGAACGGGGGGGGGAGAGGGACAGCCGCTGCGGCAACGACGGAGTTTGCGCGTTGGTATTATCTCAAAGGTTGGTATTGTTTTGGATAGCGGCGCAGCAGCACGTAGCGTTTCGCACGGCTTCCGGCCGGCGTCACGTCGCCGTGGTGACGTCATCGGTGGCCATGAGCGGCCCACCGCTTTCCACAGAAGGCTTGCCGTCGCTACACGCCGAGCCTCGGGGGGATCCTTTGTATTTCACCAGCGCGTGAAGCGCACGATACCGTGGTGCGCGGCTTCTTCGTGTAGGCCTACGAAAGTTGAAGCGCACACACCGAGTGGAGTGCTTTACTGGCCTGTAGGAAAGGGGCGGAAGGGGGGGGGGAAGTCGAGGACAACGGAATGGAGCTCTCAAAGGAGAAATGAAGAGGGACGGAACAATAAGAGATTTTACCGTCCCTCCTAGAACAATCACGTTCCGCCTGCATGCAGTCCCATGAAAAGAGAAAAAACCGTGACATGTTAGGAGTTGGGCCGTCGGAGAATTGCACCTGTCGCAGAAGTCAGGGTCAGGCCATGTGCCCCGTCATGTGTTCCAAGTAAAATAAGACCGGCCAAGAATTGGGTCTACATGGATTTGGATTTAGACGAAAGTGAGTGCTTAAGGCGTGTTTCCATTGTGATTATTGGAACACGCGGGTCGAGGCGGCCCCCCGATACAGAAAAGTAGTGGAGCCGTGTTCGCATGCTGGGGCAGGAAAGAGGTGTCGCAGAGAGCAGCCAGCGGCAGCGCCTCGAGGAAGATAAAACATCTGGTTTTAGTTGTCTTGTTGGCCAGGTATGGTATACAACTGGTTTGATGCTTGGTTCCTTGGGGTGGACGTTGCTTGGTGTGGGTTTCGGGGGCTGAAATTGTTTTTGTTTTTCGTGTCAATCGCTTGATGAGATTCTCTCAAGTCTCTCCTGGGCTGTGTTTTTGTTCGAGAAAGGGGCTGGGGATCGAAATGGATACAGCACTTGGTATGCTACGGCAGAGGAGAATGAGGAAAATACGGTGTTGGGCTTGTTAGGCTAGAGGGACCAATCGGGACCGAGAATTGGTCGGCTCTCGCGGTTGGTGTTGATGCCAACGAAACTCTCCTCCATTATTCGGTGTGACGACTGCGGTATTGTTGGTCCTTATGATCCTTTCCTTGTTGTTGTGGCGTCTTCTTCCCTTGAGAAAGCTGGAAAGAGACCACCAATCACCACCCATGTGTTGGATGAAAGTGGTGTGTGGGATAATTTGCTTTCTAGTGTCTCAAAAAGAGTATTTTTTTTACGGTTGAAGGGTTGTGTGCTACTTTCAGCTTTAGTACAGCACTTTATTTACTTCTACCTTTCGGGCTGCAGCGAGCAAGAATGCGCTGCACCCTGAGTCCGCCTTTTGCGCTAGGGTTGGCCAGCGCTTCTGTGGGGTCCAGCAACGGCAGCAGCAAAGAGTGGAAAGGGGTGCCCGTCTGTATACATGCATCCCTGGCCGTCGGTCGTACATGCATGCACTTGCAGCAAAATGATATGTTGGGCTGTTGAGGTCTACTCACGGGGAATGGGTGACGGGTAGGGTAGGTGTGGTAATGACGCGTTGATTTGAATGTGTTAATGCACGCGAATGTACGCGTGCGTCATTGCTTCATTCGGTTTGTGTGGCTGCAGCATGTGTAGAGTGGCGAACGATGAAGCAGCGCCGGTTTGAGATGGACCGGCAGCGCTGCTCGCAGGTTCGAGGCTGGCCTTTGGGTTTGCAGCCACGTACCTTGCGTAGAATTCCACGTATCATTTAGTTTGTGGCATTCCCGCGATGATCATAGATCTCTCGCTCTTTATTCCGCGAGGAGAAGGTAGCGATCGGTTAGGTGTGATCGTTTGCGTAATGATAGTATAATAGTTGGTACAAAATATTGCCGTCTGCACAGGAAAAAAGCCGTTCCGATCTTTGCTCGGTACCTTCTACTACATACCCTTTATCCGCACTTGCGGTGGCGCGTGCTGGTCCACAGCTACCTGACGTGGACGGACGCCGCCGGCGTCCGTCCGCGGTAGCAAGAGACTCCTGAAAGGCATGTTATACACTGCTGCTGCTGCTGCTGCTGCTGCTGCTTGCTGTTGCTATGAAAGATAATCAACGTCCAATGTTATTGATTGTTCAAAAGGATAATTGTTTTTTGATGCGTGGGGTGGTAGAAGTCTCGAGGGACGGAGCTTGGGAGACAGGGAGGCTGAATTGGCCACAAGAAAACTGAAGCAAGCCCGGATCCTGCCGATTCCTCAGTTGCAAATTGGTGTTTCAGCCAGCGCAATCAATCCCGAAAACCGCAATGAAGGAATCTTGTCCGAAATTTCGAGACTTGTATCAAGTGCAAAATATGATCTCTAGGCTTCCACTACTACAATAATATCGCTCACTCACTCAAGTACAACAATGGTGTGAATTCCATTGCGAAATAATCTTCCCTTGTGTAGACAGAACTCTTGTCTATGTACTACTACTGTGTAGATGATGGAGATGGATTTGTTGGGTCACATGCATATTAAGAACATCTAAATACATAAAAATAATACCATGTCTGTCGTACGTTCCTCATAACGTTTCGCTCATGCCCAGGTCTGCCGGATCGTATCGAGTACTACCGCTATATATGGTATCCCCAAGTCTTAAACCATTGGCTTGTGAAGCCAGAGCGACAGTGATGATGTCATCAATGTATCGCTTTGTCCTTACGCCGTATTGTTCAATTAACACTCGAGGGTACATGGACTTACGAAGACTGTCACCACAAGATTGCGCAGCAACTTTGAACTCTGTGAACATCTCATTGAAACACTTTTTTAACTCATGCATGTAAGCAAATACATTAGCAAAATCAGGTGCAGGTGAGGATCCCATAAAAATACCAGAATATTGGCGATACATATGAGGTCCAAACTGAACGTACCCTTTCGTCAGAACAAACTCAAACCATCGGAATAGACGATCTTTCCCAATAAGAAACGACTTCCCCTTCTTTTCTTATTCTTGCCTTCCGACAATTGCAGATGTACCTGTTAAGGAGTGTTGCTGTATGGCACAGATATGGTACACAGTCGGTCTAGATTAAGATGGGGGACGTCAGGAGGTATACCCTCT